ACTACCAAAAGTCAAAAGAACAGAAGCTTGTTATTTTTAATGTATTTAATCTTAAGTTTTCTAATGTCTCTTATTTCATTAAAAAAAAATTATTCTAAATACAAAAGAATTTGTTTTTGTATTACAGTAGTTTCAACTTCATCCAAAAAGAAGTTATCTGTAGTATGAAAGAAATTGGTGTTTTTTTGGCCTTGTTTTCAAAATGTCTATCTACTTTTAAATTTTGATTTTTAATTTTAAAAAGATCATGCATGTGAACATGGCTCCTATTGTATAGAAGATGAATGTGCATGTTGGTTTGTACGCAAGCTTGTCTTTGAGTCGGGTTAACCCACTGAAAAAAAATTATCTGCTATCAAAACACGCCAAAGATTAAGTTAGTTCTAACAATATCTAGAAAAGCCTGGAAAGATTTTTAAATTGAGTAGACTCAAAATCGAGGTGGTTTTGAGGCTTTACTTTACAGAATGTAGCAATATTATACAGTGTTAAAGTTATTTCCCAGGCTATTCTCCCCCCCCCCCCACATTTTTTCGATGCATTGTTCCTCCTAGTTTTCCTATTGATTTTTTACCATCAGGTTATTTTCATTATACTTTATAAGAGAGAGAACATTTTTTTTGTGTGTGTTTTCTCTCTATATCAATTAATTATTGTCTAGTCGTTGTAAGGTTACACTTAAAAGGTGTGCCGATGATACAAAAGCGTTATTCAATCAATTGACTAATTGACTATTGATGCATTCGCAATACAGTATTGATTAAGCCTAAATACACATTGTAGAAACGTTTTGAAAGTTTAAATCCGGTTTTACATAAGAAATAAAAAAAAGAAAACAGGATATGTTTATAACATGTTTCCTTTTTGGAATTTCGATATCACACCTATTTTCTTGTAGTTCTATATACCCATATTTCTCTGCATCCACAAAAAACACTATTATTATTATTATTATTATTTCTGTACTTCTACAGTACTTTTGAGGTCAATGCCCATTAGTGATTCTCTTCTACGATACCCCTACTTTTATTTCAAATTATGTGTTACGGTTGATGGTAGCAATACGTCTGTATCATTAAATATATTTCATTTAATTAACGTTATTTAATTTGTTTATCTATCAGAAAATTAGGTCAATTTATGTTTTATAAAGTATGCTTATTATATATATTTTTTATGTTTATGTTACTAACGTTTATTATACACCGAATGCAATTTCTTATTGTTTTAACCAACTAGGATGTGAACAGAATATTGATAATTATGTACGTATTCTTTGCTTAAAGTTACAGAATTTGTTACCATATATTGTAACAAAAAGTAGAATTCAAAATTACCAAAAACATTATAACGACTTGCTTAATTACCGGTACTTCAGATATCATATTTTGGCCCGTGAGCCCAACTCAAAATAATTGAATAATTTCCATTCACATTACACTTTATTTTCGGTCAAAAACTAGGTTTCGGTGTTTAGATTATCTAAATATTACACTCAGTTGTAGATAAATATATAAACTAACACAATAAACTGGTTTCAGAACAAAATAAACTTAACTTCTTTAAAAAAAATTGAATGTTTTTGACAATTCAAACTTTCGGCAAAAATTCACTCACTTCCCAAAGTCGGAAAAAACTATTTGATGACTAGGTGAAAAAGGAACATGTGAACTACGACATCACTATTTTTGGGTCACAGGGAAAAAATAAATACGACCTCTGCAGCGAAAAAAATAGAGGGCTGTTGCAACATTCGAGTCGCTAGCAAAAACAATAGCGGTGCCACGATATCGCGCTCGCAACGGCTGATAGTCACATACCTACCACAACTGATGCGCCACCCACTTTACTTTAACATAATTTATTATCTATTATAGTGTTAATATTTATTTGATGTAGATTGAGTAGTTTATTACATAGACTAACAAATGTAAGTTTTAATGACTGAAGAATGTTAACAAAAATAAAATTAATGTAACTGAATTGGGACATTAATTTACAAACGTGATAATATAATTGTAAACAACATAAAATTATAATAAAGTAGCAAGTTGCTACTGAACTGAAGCGCTGTGCTACTATCTGCTTTTGTATCCTTTACATTGTGATTAAGCGCTTAGAGGTTTCTTGCACTTTGCGCTATATAAGAATAAATTTATTAATTTTTTATTATTATAAAACCATTGCTACAATATGACGGAGGAGGTTTCTCAGAGTCTGTAAACACCGGTCTACGTATATTAACATTCATTTTGATAAATATGCATGTTTTGAGTAAGCATAACAGCGTCCTCAATTTTATGTTACCAGGGAGTGCTTGTTTTCGTTTCAGTACTCAAAGTGGTCTAAGCAAGGTCTAAGCAAAGTGGTGAAACAAGGGCCCAGCTTGTTTTGAGATACCATCCTTCCATCTCCCCCCAATCTTTCTCCTTTCTTTTTCTCCCATTTCTCTCTCTCTTTTTTTTTTTTTAGGTACCCCGTAGACCTGTTTTGAGATACCATCCTCCCACCTCCCCTCTTTCTTTTTCTCCAATTTCTCTCTTTTTTTTTAGGGGACCCTATCCCTGTGTCCGCGCTAAATCTGCCTCTAGGCTCTTATGTAGGAGTCAGAGGGGCCTGTTTCTTCCTCCCCCCCCCCATGCCTCTTGGAACGAGGTTTTAGATATTTTAATCTCTGTTCAAATACAAATATTAGTTGCATTTATTTTATTCAGGTGAAGCACTGCCACCACTTGAGTCGGGCAAGCTTAGAATTTACAGCATGCAATTTTGCCCATTTGCACAGAGAGCTAGGCTGGTTGCAGAGGCCAAGGGCCTAGAGTAAGTATCCCATAAATTATGTCAGTAATGAAGATCTCGGTATATTTTCACGTTTTAAATAATTAGATCAAGTAATTAAAACCAGTGACAGTGAGAGCAGCTTAGCATCATCAGCTACAGTAAATTGGTTTAGCCACTCTATATGTGCTGAACCGACGGTGAAGACCCTTTGAGACCTTTGGTCACTGGATCAATTCCTATCCACTTCTCTCTTTTTGTTCCAGCTGGGGAGGGGGCCTGAATTACAAGTAACAGTAGCACACCATCTATCGAATGTGACATTCAACCAGTTGGTCTGGTGTGCAACATGGCCAATTAACGCAAACACGCGTCAATTGGCCATGAGCAGGAAATTGTCTCTCTGTGTACTGCCCAGTTTAACACCAGAAGGACCCCAATTGAAATAAGTCTTTAAATTTTACTGGGTTCACCAAACATATTTCTATGTATGCTATCCTTTTCATTGTTTATTCTCAGTTTGTCAATTTGGTTCAGCACAAGTACTGTATTGAAAATTTGACTGTAAAAGTCTTATTAACACTAAATATCAAACAATATAAATATTTCAATATAACTTTCTTTTCTGTATTAAAAGCTATGAAGTTATTAACTGTAACCTAAAAAATAAACCAGAATGGTTGCTTGAGAAGAATCCAAATGGCCAAGTGCCTGCACTGGAGCATGATGGGAAGGTCTTGTATGAGTCGCTCATTGTGTCAGATTATTTAAATGATGCCTATCCCGGACGAAAACTTAAATCTTCAGATCCATACAAGCGGGCTAGGGATGATCTAATTGTCAACCAGTTTGGTAGCAAGGTAAACTCAATATTATTTTTAAAATTTAACTCCTAAAGTTCTGTTCAGATTATCAAATTAAAAAAAATAAATAAAAACCTGTTGCATGCCTATATTTAGTCATGATGTGCCTATAGATGGTCATGATGTGATGTCATAATGAATATATTTAGGTATAGAATATGTTTTATAAGTATTTAGGTATAGAATATGTTTTATAAGTTGAGCATCATGCATCTTGACTTGTTACCGTTATCTTTTAGGCGTGAAATCAGAGATCTTTTTATTTTGTTTAAAAGTTCTTTTGGAATTTATGATATTTCTATTGTTGACTATGTGCATTTTAATTCCTCACAGGGCCGTCCTGCCACCAGAATTTTCGTCAGATTCTTTAATGTTATCTGTCCATCGATGCAAAACAAAATCCCATAAATTGTGCCTATCTGGAATAATCTTCCTTTAGCAATTCGATCAGATTCTCATTTTCCATCTTTCAAAAACAAAGTGATTGAATTTTACAACTCTAAATTGAAATATAATTTTTTTTTCTGATAATATCTGCACTTGGCTTACTTTTTGTCACTGTTCTGGTTGTTGTTAGATTATGATTGTTTTTTTGTCTTTTGTAAATTGGACATATATTTATTCTCATGCAAATTATATTTATTTTGGTTGATTCATTTATCTCACTCCGGCGGTAAGACGGCTCTGTAGAGGTGCTTGTTCACCTGTTCTGTTTTTTCCTGTCGAAGTTGAATAAAATTAAATTAAAATAAAGTACGTTACATGTTTTTGTCATATAAAATTTGATAATGTGGACAATGCTTTAAGCTCGGTCCACACTATCAACTTTTCTTTGGGAAAAAAATGTCTGTTGTATGCCCATATATAGTCATGGTGTGCCTATATATGGTCATGATGTGCCTATATATGGTCATGATGTGCCTATATATGGTCATGATGTGATGTCATCATGACCATATTTAAGCATAAAAAAACCGAAATGTCCACTGATTAATCTCAGATAAGATCAAAGAGTATAAATAGAACAAGAGAGCCACCAACGCTCATTGAGAGCGTAAAAATACGATACACCCTATGCAGCTAGTGTAGGACGCCAACTAATGCTTGTATGTTTTTTATTACCCAGTACTCGACCGCGCACAGTCAGTTTGTCTGTTTATCTGTTCGCCACAAGATACTGTACTTTTGTTTTCTGCTTACTGTGTTTATAGCTGGCGCACTTCTACCGTGCTGCGCAGCGCTGCACTGGGTAATAAAAAGAACATACAACCGTTAGTGGGCGTCCTACACAGGCGTGACGTTTTTACGAACAGACATTGCTCTCTTGTTCTATTTATACTCTTTGATAAGATAGTATAATACATACACCAAGTATCGAAATGCACGACACGATGGCGTGCATTTCCATACTTGGAGTATGTATTATATTATCATATTTAAGCATGTCACAAGTTTTTGTCAAATAAAATTTGATAGTCTGGACAGGGCTTTGTGATTCAGACAAAAGGATAACTGATCAACAGAATTAGAAATGCTTAATTAACCTGCCTTTTTTTCCCTCCCAAAATTGAAAATGACTCCACTCTATTAAGGCATGTTTATGCATGTCATTGTTTTGTTCTATAACTTGTGGGTTTGTGCTGTTAGAATTTGTAGTAAAAAAATTACGAATTGAACATGTGCTGAAGGTTATAATTTTTAATTTTCTCTGTATATGATATTTTTTAGATAATTCCCGCTTATTACAAGGCAATTAGGGCAACTGCAGAGGATAAAGATGCAGCAGTACAAGAGCTGATTGAAAAATTGTCAAAGTTGGAAAAAATAATCACCAATCGTGCAACACCATTCTTTGGTGGTAGGTTCAAATAACATATTTCATTATACTGAGGATAATCACCATGATGATGGTGGTAGTGATAATGCTGTTGGTGATGGTAGTGTTGTGATAATGAAGAAGTTGTTTAGCGCAAAGGGAATGATTTGATTTCCAAACCTTGAGGTTAAGGTATCAATCCATCGCTGTGCATTTCGCTTGTGCACTTAAGCATGGTACTCTATGGCCTAGTTCAGACTAGGTGGATAAACCCGGCTAAACTCACCAGGTTTATCCACCTGCCAGTCTGAACTAGGTGGCTTATCTCAAGCCTGGCTGTGTTCCTATAGTAACTACAGTAGGCCTTGCGCGCCACCGTGTTTAACTTTTCTAAGCCGGGCTTTAATCGTTGTGGAGGTCTTGCATTGACTTCGGGTGACGAAATGACCAATCATCATTCAATTACGTACCCTGTGATCGAGCAATGTTTTGAAACATGTTTCCTGGTTACGGTTCATTATTATGCAAATTCTCGTCTTGCTAAACCCGCTAGTCTGAACGCCCGGCAAAGTTAAGCCGGGCTTAACTCAAGCCTGGCTTATCTCCAAGTCTGAACGTAGTCTATCAGTATTGTCAGTTGCTCTTACGCTGATTACAACAGCAATGCGTATGCATGTGGACCCAATGACATGGGACAGAAGCACTTCGTATCTGCAAAGAAAGGCGCTATATAAATAACTGAATAAAAATAAAATAAATGGTGGAGGTGCTCTTTATGATGGTTTGTTGAATGTGTTTGTGAAGGTGGTATTAGCAAGTAGGTATTGGTAAAATGGTGGTGGTAGTGGTGTTGTGATCATATTTGTGACATTGTGGGTGCTGGGAATATCGACATAACCATTATTGGTTTTATTCTATAATCATGACTCCTAAGATGCACATAAATTTGAAGTCAACTTCATCTACATCCACGGGGACCTACATTATCGATTTTAGTTGACCAATTAGCCATACTTTCTTTTCCAACCAGAAATGGAGAATATTATTCACAGTTAATGTATTTAGTCATTTCGGTTATTCTTTATCTATCTTTTGAAACATATATAAGGCTTGCCATCCCCAAACCTGTATACTGTCACTAATTGTTCAACTGACTAATTAGCATAAGAATAAGAAGTCTTTTACTCACAACTTTGGCATTAGTATGTCGATTCCAGTAAAATGACCCATCATTTTAAAGTTTATAATGTGGAGAATAAGTATTAAAAAGGCAAGATACAATTGTTCACAACATAGGACATAAAATGTCAAAGAAAAAAGCAAAGTATAAAAAACATTTTCTATACCTTCCTAGGTCAAAAGCCAACCATGGTGGATTTCATGATCTGGCCTTGGCTTGAACGACTACGTGTAAGCCCCATGTATGACCTGTTGGCTGTCGCTTTACCGAAGCTCTACAAATACGAACAAGATATGCACAAAATACCAGCAGTAAAAGCCACTGTTGAAAGCCCAGCCATGCATCGTTTTTTTCTCTACAACCTTTTGCGACGTAAACCCATTTATGATTACACTGAAGAAGATGCATCAAAACTGCAACTGCCCTCAAAACTTTGATAAAAAAAAAATAATGGCCTTAAAGGTGTATTGTCCCATGCTAAATACCTAAAAAATCATTAAAATATTTTTTGAAATTAACTTGACCATTTTGAAGTAACATAAAAGTTATCAACTTGAACATAGAAATTAGTGTATTAAAGAAATTCCTACCAATGAGTTTACAGCGAAAATTGATAGAAACACTTCCAGTCACTGGAAGTGTTTATTGTTTGTATTATAATTGTTTGGTTTAAAAATCAGGGTACACATTTTTTAAATAAAAAATAATTAAGTTAATAATTTGTATTTTTAGTAAGCCTACGAAATATGAAAACATCTTACGCCTGTGTATCAAGCAGAGACATATGCTTCCTTCCACTGAAAGCCTATTTTTAGAGTTTGACAAGCTAGTCTAGGTCCATTTCTCAGGACACTTTACACTAGTACTAACAGTATGTAGCGGCTGTAAGTATGATAACCCATAGCCGCCACATCCAGGGCAGATGCAATTGTATATTGAAGAGAGTGACGCACATTCTACTTACTGTCTAATTTCACATAAAGTTCATGAAAATCTGGTGTATATTTGTATAGTTGTTCTAGTGAATTGCCAACACAGTAAGCATGGATGAGATAAGGGTAGCCAAAAAAAAAAAAACATGTCAAGAAGGTGACACACACTTGAGCTGGGAGCCTATTGTTTTCACTGGGATCACAACAGTGTCTAGAAAGCATGGTATGAAAATCTTACATATCTACAAAATTGTACACATACAATACTCCTGCAGTGTGTAACTGATGGAATATAATCCCCTTGAGTAAAGTGCCAATCTTCAATATGCACCAAACCTAATTTCTATTTGCAAATCACCTGAGTATGCATTGCACCAATTTGTTTTATTTATTTTTTAAACCATATTTATAGAGGGTAGCCTTCCAGCATATATCCTAGAGGTCAACTGGTACTCAGTGACCCTCTTGAATAGGCCTACAGAAAATATTGTTTTGCTTTTATCAGCGAAGTCTCTTTATTTTTTGTTTTTATTTGTGAGAAAAATCCTGTTGTCACAGGTATTGAACCCAGGACGCTTGTATCTCAAACACTAAGTTATTCAACTCTACTCTGTAAGTAAATATATTTTAATTCAGCACCACAGTTCTGATATCGGACTATTGTACCCGTTTGCCTTGATATTCTTTATCATTGCAACACTAATAAACAAAACCAAAAGGTTCACTGATTATATCTCGGATAAGAAAGTTAAATACATACTCCAAGTATCGAAATACACGCAACAATACAACACAACTCCACTCTGTCTGTAAATAATTTTTTAAATAAGCACAAGCACTGAAATCTGAACTACACTCTACCATGGAGGAATTAGTATAAATTCCTCCATGATTATACAGTACTATACTATGTTATATTACCTGTTGTGCCTATTCTGTATCATCGCAATACTAATAAACAACTGATCTATCATAATCTCTCCTCTTAGACCATAAATAATATCATTGTACCTTACTAATCAAAAAGGCTATGTACAATATTAGTTAAGAAAGTAAGCCAGAATTGTACCTGTATAAAATAAATTTGGAGAAGGTTTTGCAATTCAGGTGGTCCTTCTCACAACCAAACCGGTACCATCAAGTGAGTAATTTATTCTCTAACCATTAGAGATTAAGTACTCTGGGATCAGTAACACCACATTATCATCATCAAAGAAACTGGTATTTCATAATTACAGAAGGTGTAGACATTTTTTAGGATTCAGTTGAAAAGAAAGAGTCCTTGGCCTCCAGTTGCCAGAAATATCATGGGATGGTGGTGATGATAAATGATGATGGAGATGATGATGAAGAATAGATATGGAGATGATGAGATAAGATACACTTTATTGCTCCAAGTCGGAAATTCAGTTCTGGCATTAAAATACAGTAAAACAATTAAAAGAATGATCAAATATAATGAACTAATGGTGATTATTAATGATGATGATGATATTGTTGTTGATGGCGGATTAAATAGGCGAGTGGTTAATGCAGGGGTGCCGCAACCCACTTCCATATTTGCATTTGTTCGAGCAGCACACACACCAATGGTTTCAGTGGTGGAAAAAGCAAGGACTATAAACTGCAGGCCCATTGTACAAGTTGGCTCATGTGCACTATGCTATTTGGTGGATGATGATGATGTTCTTAGATTGAGATGACGATGAAGATGACAGTGGCCACAAGACTTACATTGATGATATTGTAACTTATTACCTTGCTGTTTTTTTTATCATTTTCCAGGAGAGGAAGTCGGTATGTTGGACCTCATGATCTGGCCCTGGTTTCACGGAATTGGTTGCTTTTCATTCTTCAAAGTTGTCCTTGAAAAGCTAACAGGCTTGAAAAAATGGACAGAAAACATGTACACTACCAAAGCAGTGACATCAACATCTATGCCGCCAGAATTGTTTTTGAAGTTTGCAGAGGGGTATTTGACCCAAAATTTTGTTTACGATTTCTAAATTGCAGCTACTGTAAACACAATTGAAACAATTCATACATTTTTAAAATGTTAATCTTTTAAACAATTAATTTAATTTTGTCAAATAATAATGCTGCAGATATAAATAGGTGATTTGAGGAATGCTGATTATAAATAGGCAGTAGCTATTATTACACCGGTCTTAAAACAAACTCGTAATTTTAACGAAATTCATGCATATAATAACTAATAAGATTTAGGAATTCTATCTTATGAGTATAACAACATTATATTTTAATTACTGAAATATAGAATTATATTCAAATATAGAAGTACTGTAGATAACTGAAATATTTGGAAAATAGTTTGATATTATAACAATTTAATCTATAAAGTACTGAAATATTACAAAAATTAAATATGTAAACTAAAATGCTGAGGCCTACTGTATATTGTGCATTATTTCTTTAATACAATATGTTTACTAAACATTTTTCTCAAATAATCATTCATCTTTATTTACAACTAATTCATGCTATTATTTAACAATAAATTACATATTTACAAAGACATGTCTCTTTGTGGGACAATCCCAGGGAGTACACAAGCCCATTGTACAAGTTGGCTCATGTGCACTATGCTATTTGGTGGATGATGATGATGTTCTTAGATTGAGATGACGATGAAGATGACAGTGGCCACAAGACTTACATTGATGATATTGTAACTTGTAATATGTTTACTAAACATTTTTCTCAAATAATCATTCATCTTTATTTACAACTAATTCATGCTATTATTTAACAATAAATTACATATTTACAAAGACATGTCTCTTTGTGGGACAATCCCAGGGAGTACACAAGCTCAACCCCAAAGCATTTTGAACGTTTGACTGCGGTGTTGCCAACCCAAAGCATTTTGAACGTTTGACTGTGGTGTTGCCAGAGTTTTTTTGAGAAGCCACTAAGTCTCAATGCGGTAATGTGAGGGAGTGATTCATGTAAAAGTATTGGATGTTGTGACAGATATGCTACTGATAGAATGGATCAACTAAAAATTTGATGACGCATTATTCCTGATGATGTATTATTCCTGATGATGCTTAATAAAAGCAAAACGTAAAACAAAATGGACTTGTCTATATGGTAACTGTATTCGTTATCTCATAAGTTTGCAAAACCTCCCTAAAAATATCAAACACAAGACAGGCCCACACGCAGGTTTTTGATTGGGTGGGTGCAAATTTGGAGAGAGTGGACCAAAAGATTGAGGGTCTATAACACCTCAGCCCCACCATTATTTTTTAAATAATTTTGAAAAATTTAGGAGGAGGGGGCACCACCACTCGGAATAGTGCAGCACAGTCTAGAAGCACAAATACATTAGGGAAATGTCATCATCACATTCCTTCATCATTGCTGCTGCTGTGGGTGGACATTGGTAAAAGATCTAGAGCTTCATTGACAATCGCACAATAATCTGATATTCGTCTAGACAAGCATCAACCATTAATGTTTTTCTGTATTGCCTTTTACGTTTCTTTGTGTACTATATATTTCTTGCTCTGACATTCGCCATGGCGAAGAGTGCGAAAGTCTAAATCCACGCCTGCTTAACAAGATGATTTCTAAGCAAGAATAAAGATGATTTTAGTGAAAAATAGAAGGAAGATGAGTTTGTACGCAGTGAATCATTGACAGATGGGGAGACACTCAAATTTCTCAAAAAGATAATACTGTATAAATATAGTTAAATGTCATACGACGAATTAGACAACGGCGGCGGAATAGTTAAATGTCATACAACGAATTAGACAACGGCGGCGGAACGTTTTTGAAAGGTGGTGGGCGGGGGGGGGGTGCATTTCATAAGGTCCAGTATGCGAGCGAAGCGATCATCTAGGCTGGGAGCCAGGGGTCCGCTAAGGGCCCCCGGTGGCCCCCCTGGAAACTACGGATATTTTACGAAGTTTGGCGAAGCTACTGTAATGATTTCATATTTGTTGTAATTTTCCAGTGGCAGATCCAGGAATTCGAAAAGGATGGAAGATCTATAGTACCTCAGCCCCACCATGGTTGGGGCTGAGTTAAGAAAATTTGTGATTATGGCACCTCTAGATGGCCGGAAATTTCACTCCCAGACATAAAATTTGAATATAATTTTCCTTGAACTCGCCACAGATTTCCGAACAATGTCGAAGTCGATATTGCTTCCACGACCTCAATGAATTATTTATCATGAGGGTTATCTTGTAAATGAATTTAAATTACTTGGTGTTTTTATAAATAATAAACTTTCATGCTATACACAAGTAAATTATATTTGTTCTAAATCATCACAATTACTAGGTTTTATTAATAAGTGTACTTCATTAAACATCCTGGATGTACTTCCCATCTATCCATTTGCCATGACCTAAATCTGTCTCTTATACACATCTAGATGTGTATAAGAGACAGGTGACTGGGACACACATTATGAAGATAGGCTGAAAACGCTTAACATATTAAGCATAGAAGATATTTTTAAATATCACCGGCTTGTTCTTGGTTTCCAAAGTTCTTCATAATGTGTGTCCCCCAACAATAACAGAGTTTGTTCATAAGAGTGAGCGTTGTGAGGGTAGGCTTATTCACTGTAAAGCCAAAAGCAATACTTTTCTTAATTCTGCTTTCATGTCCTTTCCCAGGCTCTGGGAAGAACTACCTCCTCTACTTCAAAACTCTGTTAATGTTTCCTGTTTTAAAAATAATTTAATTAAGCATTTTATTTCATTTTATGTTTCTGATTAGTTCTGATTGTTTTTGTATATTTCATTTTATATAAAGGATAGGGAGCAAATATTGTTCAGGCTTTCGCCCATTCCCTATCCGGGCAATGCATGATGTTTTTCTCCTATATGCTTTTTGCCAAATAAATATTATTATTATTATTATTATTATTATTATTATTATTATTATTA